ATTTCAAAAAACCTTTTTTTTTGGATAGGTATTTGAAATGCCCATCCAACGAGAGAGTGATCTAATTCTTGGACTGTTATCGTAGCCAACTGCGACAAATTTCAATGACCCATATTCCAGAAAGTACTATCAAGGATTTTTGTCCACGAAACTTGATGATGTATTCTGAATCAGTACCACTTGAAATATACCTGTACCGATTTTCATCATCATAAAACACAGGGTGTCCGAAAAAACGAATCATCATTTTCTTCAAATAGGTGATCAGCAAATCTAGTTCTGTGGTTTTTCTAGAAGGAATTAATAACGAATTATCATTGAGGATTATTTCAAATATACTTGTACCAATTTTAGTAATTTGAATATACAATGTCTCTGAGAAAAAAAATTATAAAGGATAGGTAAGCAATATTTTTCATCCTGATAATTCTTCACTCATAATAAAAAGATGAATCAGGATCACTTGCAACATAACTGTACCGATTTTCATCATCATTAAACACAGGGTGTTCGAAAAATCAAATTAATATATTTTTTGAGTCGATGAAAAAATATTGCCTACTTTTTCTTTTTAATTGTTTTCTCATACACATCGTATTTTTGAATGATGAAAATCGGTACAGATATGTTCAAAGTGATCCTCAATAATAATGTGTCATCAATTCTTCTCAAAAATACCACAATACTACATTTTCTGATCACATATTAAAAAACACATGATTCGTTTTTTCGGACACCCTGTGTTTTATGTTGATAAAAATCAGTTAAGGTTGTTTTTTGTGAAATAGTTCTTTCTGAAATATGGGTCAATAAAGTTGGTCGCAGTTGGCCACGATTACAGTTCATAAGTAAAATCACTCTCTTGTTGGATGGACATTTCAAATACCTATCCAACAAAAAAAAGTTTTTTGAAATCGGTCAGATAATAACAATTTTACAGGGGTGGTAAGTCCTTAAGGTGGACACACTGTAGATAAAATAAATTGTATGTATGATGTTGACTAATACCGTTGATTGATATATTAACGCTAATACCTTTGTTGTTGTCTTCGAATCAATTTTAGCGCACCCTGTATCGATCATGTTACGTTCTTGGTGATGGTACGACTCGAATTTAGCCTTGGTGGAAATGTAACTTGGTGCATTGAAGAACTTTAAAAACATGCAGTACATACGCGTACAGGCACTTCAGTTTTGTTGTTTCATTTTGTTTTTTTTGTGTGTTATCTTGCCGGAGAAGCAGGGCTATTGGCTATTTTGCAGAAAAATTCTCGTCTGCGAAGATGTTGCTCGTAATTTTAGATGCCCATTTGGAGACTCGGGCGTTTTTATTTTTGTTTTGTAGTTTATATAAAAGTATCCAATTTTCTTGAACAAATGTTAGTTCTTTGTTTAACTGATACGAGTCGAGAGTCTGTATATCGCTTTCAAACATGATATCGGTGAGTTCTGTTCAGAAAATTATTAAATGCCTTCAACGTGTCATCACTATAGTGAAATTGCTCTAGCTAATAATTATTACAGTATTTGAAAGGGATCATCAATTGTTTTTGTCCATTCTGTATCTAATACCAATTAATTTTTCATTTAATAATTCTGTAGCCAAGTTGGGACCACTGTCAAGTTTTATTTTCAATTCATATTCGAAGATTTCGATTAGAATCATGGACGTATAATTCAGCTATTTGATGGATTCAAACTTTTCTATTACAATCAACTATCAAGAATAAGTGTCTTTTCGAAATAAAGAGACTTCTAACGGACTGTTATTCATTTTTCTTGTTTTGCTGTTATGATTTTGAATCAAAGGCCTATCATTGGCTTCGAATTTTTTTGAGAATGCCTAAATTTTCATTCTACCTTTACCAATATACTTTCTGTGGGAGCAAATTTGTTCAAATGTCCAAGGCTTAAGTGGAAAATGATTTTCATTTTTGGAAAAAGCGAGGGCGTACTATTTTCTTCAGAAAAATCTTCAGAATACTTCCCGGACGCCACTGGTAGAAATATCGAAAAATTTCCTGAATTAAGAAATGCCTATTGGTGCTTAGTAGGTGCATGTGAAATTTCATGAAAATATCTAGAACAGTATTAAAGTTAATATGATATGAAAACGATTTTTTTCTTAGAATTTCAACACGCTATAGCTCGAAAGTTAAGAGGTTTAGGGCATATGTTCATATGAATTTTTCTTCTTAAAACAGGTTTACAAACCATATCTCATATTTTCGGCCATCAATTAAATTATATCCTGTATAATCTATATGTTTGGAGAAGAGGACTAGAGCCAGCCTCTTCAAACATGTTTCGAAACAAATTATTATTGATTATCGATTGCATTTATATTAGTGAAATTTTCAAACGCAGTGACATTCTGGGACAAATATCAAAATTAAATTTGATACTTTCAGATTGATACATTTTTTTTGGTACGCCTCTGACCAAATTGCCATATTTTTCTTTGATAGGGTTTCCTTAGTAACAAATTGATTCAATCGACATAATATTAAAAAGAAATGAAAAAACAACGTAGGGGAAGAATTTGTTTCCCCACCGGTTATTAACATTCATGACATATACGACATATTTTTAAAAATTGTTCCCGTATATCAAGTACTTAGCAAGTATATTTTGAAATGTTTTTTAGGTAAAATGATGTTCACTGTTCTTTACATTGTTGGATCCTCGAAAAAAGTGAATTATGGCCAACTTTATATTACATAACCTTATGTATGTGCGACCATTTAATAGCGCGATTATTATGATCATAACGGTAATGGCAGGAAATTTGAAAAAGTGCTGTGACAAGTTTTGGTAGCTACCCACTGTCATTTTTTCCTGAAACTGAGGTGAACGCCCTGAAAAAACAACATGATTAGCTGGACTCCAAAAAAGACAAGAATCTCGTTTGATGTTTGTTTTACATAATCTGAAAAGATATTCCTATATAATTATGTGTCGTGCATACAAGCCCTGTAGAGTCAAAACATTAAACCAACATGAATACATTTTTTTCTGTATTGTACAGGATGAATCACTGTAGAGATTTCACGCTTTCAACACTAGATATCTTGAAAACTTCGAGCCAAATCCTTGGATTAGATGTTCTACTTTTGTCCATATTATAAGGGGGGGTATGAAATGTTTTTTTTTTTCGAATGAAACACCCGATAAATATTTCATTCCATATCTATTTCGAAAATTAATAATTTCCATACATTTCATTTAGTAATGGGTGAATCAAATAAATGAAACTAAATCTGATCATAAAATCCTCTAATTCATTCCGAGGTGAGCAGAATACAGTAGATTATCGAAATTTCAGTATTTGATACAATCGAGAATTAATAAAGAAGAAATTGTATTCCACAAAGAAATATAATATGGAAGTGTGTCTCATTGATTCGTTATTCTACATGATTGCCGAAAAAATAGTGTACGCAACGAGTCCAAAAACAGTTTTTTTGGACTCGCCTACGGCTCGGCTTAGAATTTAGTTTACTCGTTCAAAAAATAGTAATTTGTTTTTCTAGGCAAAAAAGTACAAGATTTAGAAAACGCGGCTGGCGTTTCATAGCCTATAGGCATATCCGGGGCAAGGAAACTAGCCAAGGCATTACATCTTCTTTTCTGCCATGTGAAACATATAATTTTTTCTCCGAATTCTTTTCAATTTCACGCAAAGTCTTAATTATCCTTAATTTTTAGTTCACCCAAAGTAATTGTCAATTATGATTACCAATTTGAAACAAATTACTTGGAACGTTGCATAGCAACAAACTTTTTCTGCCTAGTCAGTAAAAAAAACACCTTTTCTGCCTCTGGAGTGTTATTAAAAAGCCACCTTTAATGTCATTTGGAGAAATACTTTATTTATACAATAACATCACTCTTAACATCATGGTCGTTGCAGTCATTGCCATAATTGACCTCAAATTATTTTGACAGTATTTGATACTTTGGTAACAATGAGTTTAGTAATGATGGGTATGCATATTATACATGGACTTGCAGAAATTTTTGTTATGAAGTTATGAAGTACTTACATTATTCTCGCTCCATATATCAGCCCTATATATTTTCCACGACATGACCTCTCCGGACACCCTCTATAGGGTGTTCTATTTATAGAAATGAATAATTTTCACATTTGGAGGGCATCATACAAAAGGTAACAAAATCTGATTCGATAAATTGTGTCACCTAGTTTATGACTGCGTGAATTTAACGAAAATTTCAACAAAATCTCTATTCTCCAGGTAATCCTCATCCCGTTCCTCTGGATGCTGGCAGCAACTGCCTCAGTGGTTCCCATAGACGAATCCAGGTCCACTGTGAACGTCAAGCAAGGCGACCACGAATACTCCTACCACATCCAAGAAAGCCATGGCATAGCAGTGGACCCCAGCCACCCTATTCCACTTCTGAAAACTCAGATACCGCAGCACATCATCCTCAACTCTCTGCTGGCCAAAAGCTCAGAAGACATCGCTCCTGAAACCGAAATCAAAGGCCACAACAAGGACGAAGGTCTCGAGAAACAACAGACGAAGACCGCCTCCCACATGGAGGAGGGACTTCAGAAACAATCGCTAGAACAACCCGGTTACCCTCTGCTTCAAGGCCACAGCAAGGAAGATGGGCTTCAGAGGTCGCTGGAACATCTGAAGATCGCGTTGCCTGGTTACCAGCTGCTGCCTAGCGCTGGTAATGGTCTGATGAAAGAGGAGGGGCTTGAGAAGCGACATCTGCAGGAGCAGCTCAAGATCTCGTTGCCTGGTTACAGATTGTTGCCAGCTAACGCTAATATTCAGTACATCGATTTGCCTTACTACTATCCTTATGTTCACGGTTATGGGCTGCAGTATCCTTATAATTTGCCTCTAGTGAGGTATATTTGAGGTGGATTGTCGGTGATGAGCCTTGGGGATAGGTTGAGGTTATGTCATTTGGGATACACTGAATAAGATTCTTTAATGAGGAATAAAAATTAGTACCATAATGTATTCGGAGTTTTATTATTAATATACAATACAGTACACAAAAATTACATTATCAACTGAAGAAGATTAATTTCTAACTAGGGGAGTCGAGGGTATGGTAGCCACTGGGGTAATAGCAGCTACTCAATATAGTTCTAGCTCTCTTTGTTAGTTGAGCCGAAAGTATTGGTTTTTGCATCTACTAATGAATATTCCAACTAGTTGAGAAGAAATGAATTGACTTTAAGTAAAACTGTTTTCAATAATTCATTTCATTAGCTTCACAGTCGTTGATTGTAACAAATGTTTATATATACCTAACGCGTGAGATATTGTTGATGAAGACGAACATTTTGGGAAACAGACTAAAAAATCTCTGTTATATACCTTATACTGCACCTCTATAAACAATAAGTAGCTCTGGTAACAATAAGTTTCTTTATGAAAGTCGATTGGAGAAAATGTTTATTGGGGTTATGTAGACCGCTCCTGTCGAGGAAATGGCAGTAGCCCATTGCTGAATGAAACATTATGTTGAGCAATAGAAAATTTTCCAGATGCCAAGAATTTATCGTAGGCTGACAGAAAAAGCATCTTGGACTGATAACATAATAGCAAAGATGGCATGCTCAGAATATACCTATATGTTTAGTGTGTGGCGAATACTGTAAAAATGCAGATATTTGGTTGAAATGCAGTCTCTGTCGCGATTGGGCACATAAATCGTGTGCTAATACTGAAAAGAAAATTTTTACTCGTGATTATTGCCTTTGAATTACTTATTTAAATTTTTGGGGCCATTGTGATCATCTGCCACTATTGCCCCAAATATCTGGGGTAATGATATCTATGTTTTTGTTATTCTTCAAATATTCAACACATTTTCATCAACAGGAATATCATGTATTTGTGTTCCCTCGTTTTTGTTATCAATCGTCATAAAATAATCTACTTATAGAAAAAAATGCGTATATAGGAAGCCACCATTTCGACGTCCTCCCTACTTAATCTATAAACTAGGTACAAGAACTCGCTTCAATAACTTTCACGAGAGGCTAGTATTCAACTATTACTGAATCCTCAAAACTTCCAGAGCCCTTGAGCATTTACTTCACATACCTACTGAAGAAAGTCAATAAAAATTTTTTGTAGGTATTCCTAATATGAAATAATTGCAAGTCCATAAAGTATTTGTTGGTTATACTTGATGCTTATATAGCTAGAATTAAGGCCTCATAACTATAAGTGATAAGTATTCATTGAAGTACTCTACTCACTTTTGAAACTGAATGAATCTGGAGTAAACAACATGATTTTCCACTTGCCTATTCCTCTATCAACTTATCTAACTATAGCTAAGCGATATCTTCATTGCGACTATATGAAACAGTTGGTGAAACAACAGAAACCTCAGTAACTGTGCTAGTATCAGCTTCAGTAGTCGACAAACCATCCACTGAAATATCAGTAGTACTCCAAATTTCTGGTTCCACAGAATCTTTGTGCCTCTGCTGCAAATCATCCAAAGAAGAGTACAACCTAGAAGGAATCAACAAGCTACGCTGACCATGAAGATCCTTCGGCATTGTCATAGAATTAGCCAAATAACTGTTTCTTTCACCAGCTTGGAATGCTAAATCGTGCATACCATCTCTGTTAGTGTATGTATATCTTCCTCTTACGTTCCCTCTATCGTCAGCTACTTCTTCTCTGTGGAAATCTCTCGTGTTGATTCTGAAGGCGTAGAGAGCGTTCGGGGGTAGGCCAAGCGGTTTCAGGTGTGGCGGAACAGACGGCAAATGTGGGTGCAGATGTTGAGAATGCCCATCTTGGATATTCCATTGGTTGGGGTAATGCATGTACTGTCTTGTGTCATCGTTGAGGCTACTGGTTAGGTCTAAAGTACTGAAGAGTAACCAGCATAAAATGAGAGTTATCTGGAAAATGTTAACGACATTTTCGAACAGGATATTCAGGGTGGTCCACATGGAAGCAGAACTTCGACAATTGATATTTGATATTTGAAGGAATGAAAGTTTCTTCGGAACTACGGATAACCAGTAATCATCGCAGGTGTGGTCAAATAAGATTTTTCCGTTTTTTCTCGAACGGCATTTTTCCTATAAAACTGAACATCTTCTCATATTTCATAATAAAATTCTTGGAATTTGTTTGTTCACATCAAATAGTCACTAGAATATCTTGTTTTATTGTTGTGCTGCTCTCCAGTGATTGAAGAAAAATGTATTTTTTCTTTTTCAACACGTTTGTGAGTATCTCGAAAACGAAGCAAACTCTGCTTGAGAGAAATTCTTTGTAGACACTGTTTTACTTAAAATATGGTTTTCTATCAATTATCAAAATTCTGCTACTTTTATGTGAACCACCCTGTATAATGATCAGAGACTTTTGTGGACACTTCATACCTCCCATCCATTTGAGAAATAAACAAATTCTATGAATAACTCTGTACCTACATATACTATTTATTTATTCATTTGCCTGCGGCTTGGTTGGAGAATTTGCATTACATAATTGTTTTAATTGCCAAACCATTAATTCAAAATTGAATACTTATTCATGCATAGTAATCATATCGATGCACTTTTTGCATTGCCTTCCATTAATCTCTTTCAGTTCTAATCGAATACGTATATAATAAGTTGATTGGAAGAAAATAGACAATTGATATTTTTGATGAAAAACAATAAGTAGGTATACATATTTCGTATTATCATTAAATTTGTTGAGGAGATATCGATTCAAATATTGAATTGTTTGAAAATCGGATGAATACGATACCTTGTATATTAGTACAGTCGTCTTTGAAAAACATGTCGTACATAGACGACGATACCACTGTATTACTAAATAACCACATCAAATAACCGATATTGAAGTTGATATATTCCATATTGTATATTGTAATTTCACTTAGACTACAACATGCTAGGAAAATAAAGAATAAGGTACATACCAACGAAATAATGATTAAGATACAGGGAGATCTAAGAAATCATTACTCACTTCGAAATAAATCATTTCTCTAACACTACCATTCCTAGACACAACCACTGAATGATGTGAAATGATGATATGACTCTCAACTATTCATACAAAAAACTAGAACACTTGAAGATCATCCAAGGATAAAAAAACACCTCTAGGCACTGAATCATATAAATAATCTATTTAAATAATATACAAGTCACTTAAGTATTATCTAACCACATCAACATTATAAATCATTCGCAATTACACCTATCTACCAGTCGTCGTATCAGTACTAGATAATGTAGTACTCAACTCCTGTGTCTTCGGTTCTTCAGTAGTAGTTGAATTTTTTGCCTTACTAATAATATTGTCTTCGTCAGCGTTCAATTGCTCAGTCCTCAAGGCCATATCAGCATTGAATTGTTCACTAGGAGATGGGACACTAGGATTGTTTGGTATCAAGTCGATAGCTTGGACATGAGCTCTCACAGACACCCCTGGTGGTACCAAGAACGTTCTATCACCAACATTGGTCACTATGGTACCAGGGCAGATAGGACAGTTAGCATTCGCACCCCCTACGGTCACTGTGGGTGCACCGCTACCATACGGTGGCCTAGGGTGACTAGTCTCGCTTCCAAATAACCCAAAATCATCCTGGGCACCCTGAGGAGGGTAACCATCTTCGAAATCGGGGATAGGTTTAATCCCAGATCCATATCCTGCCTCTGAGCTACCACCATTACCATATCCTGGTCTTGGTGTTGATGATGAACCAGGCCTGACTCCAAATAGGTCTTCAGCACTGTCTGCGGCTGGCCTAGAAGGTGGCCTAACTCCAGGTCTTGTAGGTCTACCTGCAGGCCTTGAAGTTGTTGTAGAGGGTTTGTAGGAACCATCTTCGTAAGAAGGCTTATAAGAACCATCGTCTTCAGCGCTTGCAACTCCAGATGCTGGCCTCGGAGACGTGCTAGTTGGTCCACTACCGAATATATCCCCAAAGTCGTCATCGTCAGTATCCTCATCTACGTAGGAAGGTTTACTACCTGGTTTGGGACCAAAAGGTTTCTTGTGACCAAACCCATCACCGAAAGCAAACGTAGCTCCAGGTTTGGCCCCTGAAGGTACTTTATTCCCGAAACTAAAGACACCCTTCTTATCGTCGAGACCATTATCGTCCCCTTTGCTGCCAGGTTTCCCACTAGGTTTGACGTGTCCGCTTGCTGCTCCGTCGAAAAGGTCCTTATCGTAGTCGTAGTAGTCTGGTGGTAGTAAATCGGGGCGTTCGAAAGGAAATACCGTCGGTAGGTGAGGACCTTTGACTTGTTTGAGGACTCTGTAGCCAGTTTCAGGTCCCGCAATGTAGTGTACCGAATGTTGAACGCCCTTGTCGTCTAAGTAGGTGTAGGAACCTCTCACGTGACCTGTAGAATCGCTTGTTTCTGTGCGTCTTTGGTCAGGTCCAGCTGACACAAACCTGGAAGATTTTATTCACTTATTATGTGAGGGGGAATGTGATATTTTTGTTAACCTACTTATAACTTCCGTCCAGTCCTCTTTGAATTGAAGTTCTGCCTCTAGGAATTGGCTTGCCTCTACCTCTGAAGTAAAGTGGTCCATAAGCCCTTGGGTTGGAGTCTGGGAAAGGGGTTTTCACGTGGAATCCGGTATTTTTGCCAGCGATGAACTCGACGTTGTGCTTTTCACCAACATCATCGATATAAGAGTACCTGGAAATATTCTGTCAGATCGAATCAAATTTTATGTGGATGGTTTTACCTTCCATTGACATCCCCTACTCGGTTTGCGTTCTCGTCTCGGGTGTAGGTCCGCGTTCTGAACCCGAACTTGTAGCTGGGATCTTCGTACGGATCATAGTAGGGATCATCTCTGGACCCTATTGCTCTCGGGCCGCTTTGGTTCAAGTCATACTTCCGGACGACATTTTTTCCTCTTGGTCTGAAGCCTCTTGGTCCAGCAGTGTAGATTGTTGAGTCAATTTCTCCTTGAATAAGATCAGTTCCCAAAAATTAGGATCCCGAAACGGGAAACTGTTGGGTTGTCGAAAAAAAAACCGTAATTTTGTTTTCGGAAAATACCTTTTTCATCAATGGATCGATTGACAACCCTATAAGTATATTAGTTCCTCTTGAGGTAATTATTTGGAGGTATTCTGAATGAAAACTCAGGAGTCCCTGAGGTAGCCAGCAGACATTTCTTGAGATGAATAAGCATATATACGTTCTACAACATGTTAATTTTGCCTATTTCGCTTGAATTCTATTTAACTGAAACAAAAACCTTGACTTTCTATCCTCCGTATCTTCGTTACTGATTCTGATTGGACTCATTATTGCAAATTTAGTGAGAACATTTCATTCAATTTTATTTTTGTGAGATTGAGAATGAGAAATTGTGAGATATGAAATTATGAATTACCTGTTCCTGGATTTCTGCCACCAAATTGGCCCTTGACTACATTTTTCCTGTTAGCATCTGCGAAGTGGTATGAGTCTGGGTTGTTGTAGCCGAATTCAAAGGAGCCATCTTCATGTAAAACGTTAAACTCGTCGTCGGTAGCTATTGTTTTTATCAGGATGGATAACAGCAAGTACCAGAGGATTTCCTGAATTCAATCAAAATTTCAACAAGAATTACTTATTCATAAGGATTGATTCTCTTAATTTTAAGATACCTACTCTCTACTCTTCATAGATATTAGAAATAAATATTAATCAGATCAGATGATTTACCCCAAAATGTCACTGCGTTCAGAGAATTTTCCTGTCAGAGAGCCCAAAATAGTTATTTTTGTATCTAGAGCGCGAAATGCTACTTTGGTGATCAAGATCTGATTTTTTTAACGAGGCGTTGCCGAGTTAAAAAAAATAGTCGAGATGACCAAAGTAGTTCGCGCTCGAGTTGCAAACAAATTTTTTTCTACAAACGTCAAAAAATATAGTTTTGAAGTAAAAATATGCTTAACTTGATACAAAAAAGTGTTAAACTGGCTTGAAAGGTTTCCCCCTATATCCTCCCTAGGTACGCACGATTTTCCTTGAACATAATAGGAATTTCCTTTCGTGCGCTTCAAGAGAAAAAACAAAGTTATTGTTGAACATTCAGAAATAAATGATTTTGTGGATGTCTGCTATCGATTGAGGACCATAAAGTTGAAATATAAATATCTCATTTATTTTACATAACAATGCGCGAAGTAGGTACTTCGCGCACTGTTTTACTTCGCGCATTGTTTTGTGCAAGGAATCATAGTAACGTAGGAAACTGAAGAAAATTGTCACTTCGCAATTTGTTATCAATGCGCGAACGTTGTCATTTTTTGACGTTTGTAGAAAAAGAAAATTCAATAGCTTGTCAATGACAATTTGTATTGAAAAAGGTTTGAAGAAGAGAAATAAAGGTATAGGTATAGAAAAAATATTGAATTTTCACTCATCTTTGGACATTTCGGGAACGAAAAAATCTAGAATAATGATACCTCCTCCTCGATTAACCTACAGACAACTTTCATAATAATGAGAAGTAGTATAGTTGATTCCTATTTCTAATTATATGCTTCGAAGCCACTTCATAGAGGCAGAATATAATGTTCTACTCCGAATAAGAATTGAAGTAAAAATTTGGTACATGTATGTATTTCAGAGCATAGTAAATAATTGAGTTGGGTGGTACTTATAATAATTATTGTAACCGAATTGTGGCATGATCATTTTACTTTGAAGTGTGAGGCTTTTATATAGATGTTCTCTTATTGTTTTTCATTTCTACTACTTCTTCACTTGAAAATTTCACTCTCTGTTCCCGTAATTTTTTTTTTTTTCACTTGGGAATTGATAATCCAGAAGATCGTTTTGGGGCACAGAAAAACGCTGCAAATAATCCAGAAATAGGTCACAAAACTCACATTTTCAAACTGCATACTCTAACACTGATTCGCGTTTCAAACCCCAAAAAGCTACTGTCCTCTGAAAATCGGGTGAACATCTTTTATATTCATCATTCGAAAAGTGGGGTATCAACATAATTTTTTCGTTTGCGATTGTTTCAACAAAACATATGGATATTGTGGACCATTCGGGTATTCACAAGGTGGCCAATGAAAATTCCCATAGAAACAATTGACTGGCTGGGATCCTAAGGAAATTCCCTCTAGCGTGAAGATCGAAGATGGCCTTGCATTTTCCTCAATGGTCTGCTGCTTATACAATTGAGATTCGGGACCACTATGTTGGTCACTTCATTTTTTTATGTGTGGGAATATTATGATTATATTTCACGGATTCCAATTTCAATTAAGGAGAAGGAACAGTGTTTTATAACTTTTATATTGTGCTTATAGGAATTAAAATTTAAATGGCTCTTTTAATTGAACCATGATGGCATAACCTTTCGTGTTTATCATTCATTGCTCCTTCTGATGTTGATTCCTGTTTATAATATATCATGAATAATCCAAAACTAACTTTTTATATTAATTCTATCCTTGAGGGTAGATAATGCACGATACTCTGTATATTACAAGTATGATATCGAATTTTTTCAGATTGCATCAGCGCACGATTATTACCAGAAAATTCAAAGGCTACATATACAGGATGGCATAAAAATAAGTGCAAATATTTCAAACATTGAGAAAGCTCGACGTATACTATCGAATGACACAAATAAAAAACAATTTCGGATCAAAATAAAATTTGAGGTTAGACACCTTTTTCCACTCAAAGTTCTACACTGTAGCAAATCTGACGTCACCTCTGTTCGAATTTCCATGCGGTAGGCACAATCACGTGGAGTTCAATCAATTATATATTGTTTTGAAGTGGCGTATCTGGTTTTTTTCTCGTATTTTGTTCAATTTTTAGGATCAAATTTCTCGTTAATTAGAAGAATTAGAAAAATTTGAAATCATGGGAATATTCCTTAGACTGTATCATAATGTGCTAAATATTTGCACTCATTTCAAAAACACCTTGTATAGATATACCATAGATCAACTCGTTAATATGTGGGTATACGAAATCGAAAACATTTGATTCGTTCACAAGATAGAAATAGTTATAGGTATGAAGGAATGCAAAACTTTCACAGAGGCTGTAATTTTGATTATATGTCACTAATCTACATTTTAGTCATAAAGTAGAAATAATACCTATTTGGTGTTAACATATCCACTTTCCCAAAACTTCAATCGATCTTCGATCGATCACTTGAGTGTCATAATAGATTTTTATGCATGACAGTTCGTAAAGTGGAATTTTACCTCCCGCGGACTTTATTTGCCCGACGTATAGAAAACTCGTAATAAGCATTCCTGTATATAATTCACATCTATGTTTTAGTTGTGATGTTTTATTATCTGTTATCACGCTGTTCTCTTCTGGATATTTCTGAGATGCGAAATAATATGATCGAAACCGAAACAAATCATCTGTGATGACATAAATTGACAGCAAATATAAGTATACTCAATCTCTACTCCGATTTGGAAAAATTGACTGAGTTACCATGGTAACGTTGATTCCATCCATATTCCATCCATGATGAATCAATGATATTCTTCACTACAACTATGATGTATCATGCTTGAGAGGAAAAGAAGAAGACAAATGTATATGTAGGTATTTCGTGCGTAACTCACTATCGTTCTACACGCTATATATACGGTCCATAAAAGCCTTTGTTAAACCCTTATGATACATGAATAACTAAGTATTTTGTGTAGGAATTGATCCACCAGATTCTTTCAAATATTCAAATAGAAATACACCAAAAATGATCGCTATGCAAACAATTAGGTGTATATAGGCACTAGGGTAGAATAGTTTTCAACCAAGATAGAATTTGAACAGTTTTTCTTTGTTCATATTCAGGGGGACAACAAATATTCTGGTCCGATATTATACAGGGTGTTGCGAAATTCGACCGACAACGCTTGACAGGTGGTAGCCCTTTTGAATTCATGATTACAAGTGTTCAGTTCTCGAGATGCAGGGTGTTGAAGTTGGGGAATAAAAACAGGTTTTTCGCAATAGCTCGGGTATGATTGAATATTTTTCACTGAAATTCGGTAGATGGTTTCATCCACGAATGGATCATTTCCTGACCAGTAAGTCATTCTGGACATTTTATCCTGTGGTGCGCTACAGGGGGTAGTGGTTACATTTCCTCCCATATTTTCTACGCCACTGATGAAATTTCGATTATTTTCAATTCCTCGAATTCATTGTTTGATGTTGTTCAAGAAATGCATCAACTTCAACTGATCCAAATGGATAGTTTACGAGATAATTGACCCAAAATAGAAATTTTCATAGTAATTTTCCATCATTTTCAGTAGTGGAGATTTACAAATATGTTTGTTTTTTCTTTCTTACTGAAAAAAACATTTCTGTCTAGCTACATAATGGGATATGAGGAGTATCTAATCTACTTAACACCAGAAAAGTATTTTTGTAATTCTCTACTATACTCTGAAAGCGATGAAATAGTACTATGCATACCTCCATTTTGGGTCAAATATTTCGAAAACTGTTCATTTCAGCACAGCTGAATGTAATGCATTTTTCTTCAACAAAATTGAACAATGAATTCGAGAAATTGGAGATAATCGAAATTTCATCAGTGGCGTAGAAGAAATGGGAGGAAAAGTAACCAACACCCCCCCTGTTGTAAACCACTGGATTGAATGTCCGAAATGACTTTCCGGTCAAAAACTGACCCAGATAAAAACCTCGATGACACCATATACCGAATTCGAATCCAAAACTTTCAATCATTCTTGGGTTATTGCGAATGAACTTTTTTTTTTCTCAATTCGAGAACTGAACACTTGAAGACCATAAATGTTATTATCTCATTAATTTTGAAATCACCTGTCAAACGTTACCTGTCGGATTTCGAAACAACCTGTATAGGTCATCAGGGATTAGTTCAACATCTTCATATTTCAGAATGATGTGAAAATGGTTGAGAATATCTTGTTGAAATCATGTTGTTCACAATAAGTAATAAATTTCAGTTTTGAAAAATCGGAAGTCATTCTCAGATGTGATACACAATAACGTATAGATAATGATACGTTTTAATGTTCATAACCCGAAGTATAAGTATCTGTATCTCTATATCCTTATCATTGAGTAATGGCTCGAAACAATACCACAAAGATACAAATTGAATCGAGCCGCAACTTCCTTCCTTTAACAAGGTTAGGGCATAAATTTGGCTGGAACGAGCGATAAACATCCGAAAAATGTTATCTGATCTAGAGGTATTTTAAAAGAATACGCACTTATATTTGCAATGTTTCTCAATACAAGATAAATATGCCACAGTCATAATGTCAGTTAAAACGCCTAAGTATAGGTATTGGTGCGAAATTAAAATGAATACCTACATAATTTATTTTTTCTACAATAAGCGTGCATGATTCACCCTATACCCGCACGCAATTTTTTCGAAACATTCATAATAAGATCACGCGGATTTCAATCATATTTCGGGGGAGACCACTGATTTTTTAAAATGACATTATCGTGAACTTTATACTGAAAAACTACCGGCGAATTAATTTTGAATTTTGTCATTCATGCTAAGACGATGGAAAAAATAAATTAGAATATGTCCATTTCAAAACACACAATTCCTGCGCCATTTGGAATTTTGTCAATTCATTGGTGTGACTGGTGCGACGTCTTATTCCCAACACGCCTATTGTCCTTGAACTGACCAATCACACTGCAACACTGCAGAATGACGAGGTATCCGAGAGAGATAGCTACAGTTCGGGACTAATACGTCACGACTCCACCATCATATTTGGCTGTTTGAAATATCGAATGAAATGTGTTGATTTCAAAACGATATAGATTCGATTCCCTTCAACTTTAACTCATAATATTGATTGTACATCAAACGTAAATCATGATTCGTCGATTGAAAGAGGTTTGCACGGATTTCTTCTCTCAGTGGTCTTCCCCATTATCTTTTTTTTGCAATTTTCAAGATTAATTTTCTTCTTCCCTTGTGACTAAGACTGCGATATTGATATTGCCAATACATGTTCTATGGTCTATATACAGGGTGTTTCCAAAATTGAAGAGATAAATTAAGTGGGTGAAGACAACAAAAATTAAACGAAACAAAAGTGGAAAATTGAATTTTTAGAGATGAGCAGCCCAACCCAAGCGTTTGTTTTTTTCGAGGTCAGAAGCACCGAAGGAATCAATGGATTTCGCAATGTTGCCGAATTTTCAATAATAATAATTATCAAATTATATGTGTGTGCATTATTGAGTAGAAAAATTAAAATATTTTCTGACTAAGTTTAATGAAATTGTCTGTATATTTCCCTTATATATAGATATAAATATTTTCATCCTGATTTCAAAAATATAACGAATGTTTTTATAATTGGAATTTTTGAAAGCCGATTACCTATACAGGGTTTTCACTTGAAACTCCGCACCCCATTATCTTGAAAACGAATAAGAATATTTCTTTCTGTAATAAGTATTCAATGGATGGGGTCAAGTAGATGTTTTTTAAAGTATAAAAAATGCAATGCCTACTAAGAGCTGAGCGTCGAAAATATAAATCGATTGCATTGACTTTGAAATATAATACGTGCACTGAACAGTACATGCTGTTTTTAAACTTTTTCGTGATTTACTAGAACTCATATTTTATTTTACTCATTTCTGAGTTATATAGTGAATGTTTCTTGATTGACAACATATGCGATTACGTATGATTCTCACAAGAATGTCATGAATATTAGTTATTTGATTTTTGCTTTTCACTAATACAAGGTGAAAACTTTATCTGGAATAAATCCGTTACTGGGGAAGTGAATGATTTGTCTGAAAATTCACTAGACACCTCAACGTTTAAATGCATTTACCTACATTTCGCAAGCAATAT